TAAAAACCTAGGTTTGATTCAGATCTCACTGGTACTGCTTTTACCACACTTTAAAGTCAGTGACATAATTATAGTTGCTTTTGATTAGCACTGGAATCACTGAAATCAGACTTAATTGTGGTATGACAGACCTACAATTGAACCGTTGTTTAATTGTCTCAACCTTTCTGTAAGTCGGTGAAAAATTCTCCCAATGTACTGTTTTATTAGTTTCTTTTACAAAAATGCATTTAGGAGTTTATTAATGGAGTATATGTATTGGCTCTGAGTTTCTGTTCTTTGTTGCATTGATTCAGAATTCTGAGAAAATAGTGAATGTTCAATGTGGGGTCAGATTTCTCTTGTGCATGTTCATACGAACGAAGGAAGAACATGCAAAAAGTGCAACAGAAATGTGAACGTTTTTACAATAGACCTAATACTGATTTTTTTAAACCTTTTCATAAAGACCTTTCTGAGGACTTATAGACACTCATGTACACAATAAGGTATAAACAAAAGTGCTGCATGGAACAGACTTCATGGCCTTTAGGGCAGTTTGATTCTGCACTGCTTCTTTTATTGAAATGAAGTATTTACTAATAGTCTGAGTACTAGCTAATGTTTTTAATGACTCTTGTGGTCCTTCCTGTAGACAATAAATGGGAGAACAGGTTGTGTTTTCTTACTCATTCTTCTTCAGAAGAGTGTAGTTTGTTTAATACTTTATTTGGATTTGCAGCGTATAAAAGAGCTCCAATCCTAGGTGCTAGGCATGTTGGTCATTGAATTAAGAGATGCGAATCAGTATACAAAAACGAGTGCACTGTCCTGCTTCCTTCCTCAAACAAGGCACAAATTCAGTTTACCCTTCCCAACACTTTCTTCCCAAACTCTTCCTGAGGAGACTGAGGCCATTTTAAACTCTCATGGGGACAAAAGTCAAGTGTAATATCCTTATGTGATCTTTCAGACGAAGTCAGAGCTGGAGTACAGAAAAAAAGATAAATATTTACGAGTTATAAGTACTACATGAATGGGGAAAATTGGATCTGTGTCCCAGTTGGTCAGGTTTCTAAGGTTAATTTCTGTCTTCGTGGGTGAAGAGCTGAACCTGGTCTTCCCACTCCCGGGGCAAAGCCGTCATGGGTCTCTGTCACCTTCATTGTCTCCATTTTGAAATGAAGACGCTTCTTGCTGCTTGCCTTGGTGCTGTATACACTTCTGCCATGTGCCCCACAGATGCTTGGGGCATGGTTAAGAAAGCAGGTCCTCAGGCACGCAGAGTGCCTCCACATTAGCATTTTAGTGTGTGTCTGGAAAGTACTTTTGAAGCGAATCTCCCGACTGTGGCCACTTACTTACTGTGCTGCACTTCATATCAAGGCCAAACTCAAAATACGTGAACTGTTTTTCTTCTGGATGATGCTAAACCAGATGTGCCACAGAAGCACACCTGAAATGCCCCAGCTCCCAGTAAGAGTTAGTCCAGGGAACAGACTAGAGGTAGTACAAAGTAAAACTCTGTGAGGTGCGTGCTGTGGATATGAGCTCTTTAGCACCAACACATGCTGTATAAATCCTTTTCTGTACTGTGCTACACTACTTGCTAATGTGGACGTTAAGTGATGCAGCCCTGCCCTGTCTCTGCACCCTGACTGAGCTTGGCCCTTTGGTTTTGAGTTTAGGAGCACACGAGGAAGCCTCTGGTGTTTTAGAAAGCCCACAGACTTAATGAACTTTTGTAGCAAAAGCTTCCTGGGATGTTATTTTGTATTTTACCAAAATCTCAGTCCTGCTTTTCCCTTTCGGAGTAGGCAGACTGGATCTTCTGCCTCACCTCTGTGCTCTGTCCTAGAGGAACAATGTTCATCCCTCACTCACCAGCACTCTTGTCTGTTTAGTTTGTCATTCAGGGCAATGTCTGTTACTATGCGTGCTGCACAGCTGAGGCCTCACCTTGGTTATTGGCTGTAATCAATGCTGTCGGATAAAGAATAGAGAAGGGAAATGTGAGAGTTTGATTTCCAGACTGAAGGAGCTGTGAGAAACTCCTTTCCTTGCTATGAAGGGCTTGATTCTTTGCCTCTATTATCTGACTGTAGAAGTGCAGCACAAAGAACAGTGGTCCCTCAGGTAGTAAGGATTCATATCCTATTTTATAAATCATAATCTGCACTTTTAAGTATACAAGAGAGAAAAATGACTGTGTGTATATTTTGGATATACAAAAGTATGAGATTCTCATAGGAAGATGCTTCACTAAAACGCTTTTTTTCTGAAATAGTAAACAATTCCTGGTTTGCAAATTGTATATGATCAATGATCATAAACATTTTTTAGATTCAAAATCAGAACTGCATTTAGTCTTGTTGAAAATACAAGCCATATAACAAAGTTTATCTTCTCTGTCCACACGATCAACATACTTAGGGTGAAATTCATCTGAGTTAACATTAGGGATATAAAATACATGTATCTACATGAGAGCTAATCAGCAGCAGGTTTTTTCCTAGTCAGTGGAGAAAAATAAACACCTTCAGGGAACAAGCTGTCTAATTTATTTTAGACATTTACTTTAGGATAAGATGAGTGCCTGCTCTTTCCACTGACTGTAAAGGAAGTTCAGACAACTAGATCATACATAGATGCGTACTTTTGGTCTGATGACTCCCACCCAGAGAGCCCGATTTTGAGAGAACACGCTGAAAATTTCAAATTTTGTGTTTCACAAATATTCTGTCTTGTTCGAATTAAATTCGGAAATTATAAAAGCATTTTTGCCACTACATGCATTTACTAGGAACAAGCACAGAAGCAAATCTGCTTAATCATTAGCAGTATTTGCTCATTTTGATTGCTTGACAAGTACGAACGTGCATCTGACGAACCTCAACAGTTGCAGGTTGATCGTGTGCTTGTTTCCTTTGACAAATATGTTGTAGTGATCAGCTGAATTTGTGTTATGAAACAAAACCAGGGAACAGATCACTAAGGGGGTTAATTGCTAAAGCTACATCAACCTCAGTAAGCTCCAGGGGAGCTTCAGTGATTTACATTAGCCCGAGCTAAGGATCTGGCCTCAGACAGTTATCATGTCACTTACGTTTTAAAACACATCAGTCCATTTGTACACCACTTTGATGCTGTAGTTATTTAAAATGGAAATTGTTAATCTCTATTAATTTTTCTATACTAGGGAGGCAAGCATATTTTCATTATCCTGTATTGCTGAAGGAGTGCGGATGTAAACGCATTAGAGGTGTCATGGATCACATCTCCATTGAAGCCAACTGATTTGTCTCTCCTTGTGCCAGCAGGATGACTGGGTCCCAAATAAGCAACTCATTTATATGAGGGACTGACAAGCTGGTCATATAGTTTTAATATTTTTGTTTGCTTGCTTTTGTAAATCAGATCGTTTTAATTACAGACCAAAAAAAAATAGAAGTCGGGCAGGAAGAAAAAAGAAACAATAACAGAAATTTCTTATTCACTTTATTACTTTAAAATAGCAAAATTAAAGCAAGACAAGATGTTAATACCAATCCCTAGATTTTTCCCTTCTACTGTGCTATAGAAGCAGATTGATTTACTGGAAAAACAGAGCTGAGAATCAAGCATTTCCAAAACTTAATCCAGATTTAGATACTGGATCCCTGGGAGTCTTTTGCCAAATCATTTAGTCTTTCAGCAACTTATCACTCATCTCCAGACTGCGATATTAATTATTATCTACTGCACAGGGGCAAGTGGTTGCAAGGCTCAGTGAATGTTTGTTCTGGCTTTTGGACATGGAAAGCCTTCAGGAAGGGTCTAGAGCTAAGATTTTCAAAACAGGAAAGGAGACAGATCCATAAATTTCCCATTGATTACTGAGTGAACTGCACTGCATGGGAGACTTCTGCCTGCATCCTTTTCATGCATTTGAAGGACAGCTAAATACTTTGGGGAAATGAAAAAAAATGTATCGGGCTGCAGGCAGATTTATTTTTTTATAAGTGAGTTGTAAATCCCTGAAAATATGGGTTAAAAGGACTCTTTACTAATAAATACAAGCTGCAGGGTGCAGGTATTGCTTGAATTTTCTTTAGTAAAAGCACCTTTCACGTTAAGATAAAACTATGAACACCACTTTCTACAAGTAAAATATTCTCTCCTCATTTTGGATTTTCAATGTGTTAAATCTCCATCATAGAAACCATCTTTGAAATAAATAGGAATAATTTTGATACGTGATTAGGGCTGACAAAGCAAAGAATTTTTGTCTAACCCCTGTTGTTGCTCTTGCTAAATCAGGACTGTAGTAGTTGCACGTTATATGAGTGTTCACCTTTGCATCACTTCATGTTATATATGGTTTCTCGCTGTTGCTTAAATACTCGAGGCCACTTTGTGACTTCTTCTGAATGAGCACAGAGGGGAAGTGGAGAAGCTGGAGGTCTCCTCCTCATCACAAGAGGACAGCAGCACTCCTCAGCACAAGAGTCTGGCCCTCAGTTCTCGCTCCGTCCTCACCCGTGCCCACTCCCAAAGTCTTCAGCGTATTCCTGAGAGCTGAATAACACTCTCAGTACTCGACCGCCCTAAGGGCAAACAGCTTTGATCTTAAGAGATGAAAACCCAATTTAATTCATAAATACTGAGCTCATTTAAAATGAAAAGGTACAAATCAGCAGGTAGGCTTTCTAGCTAACATGTAACCTCCCGCTTTTGATTTTGTAGCCCGTAGGCAATTGCTATGCTTGATAAAATAGTGTACTACAGTAACATTTTCAATCATATGGAAGGCACTCAGACTGCAGAATTACCAGTTCATTACTTTACTTACTTTCATTTTAATTTTTTCCCGTGATTAAACACCCAGAAAATGATGGCTACCTAATTGGAAAAAAATTTCAACATTATATCACTGATGTTACATATTTCACAATTTATATCTATCTGATTGATAAAATGCCTTCCTAGAGAAAACAATATTATATTTTTCTTTTTTTTTCTTTCCTATTTCTCTCCGACAGATTGTGAGCGTGGGAAAGCATGTTAAAGGATACCATTACATTGTTGCAAACTTGGTAAGACCCTTTCCTAGAATTATACCTGTGCTCGGTAAGTGAAGCACTCAGCTTTGCTTTGGGGTTATTGCATTTCACATAACCTTCGCCATTTTTCACTAATATGCAGATAAATATAATGTATTCTTCACAGTGCGTGAAAGAACTTTGTTGTTGTTACTGCCATCTGTACAAGAAGGGCACAAAGTTATCCTCTTAAATTTCATCAAAATCAATGTAGCATAAAGGACTGCTAAGTGTATCTTGTGGTTGGATTAGATGCATTTACAGAACTACGCTATCACTTTTGATTCATATTATTAATGTTGCTAGCATAACAACTCCCAAAGTAACTTTTCTACATTCTCTAGGGAACATTCATTTTCTTGTAAGATAAGCTGCTTCCAGTCAAATTATTAGTTCAGTATTTTCCCTCTAAGTCTAAACTGCATATTCACACAACTGATGATCAGAAGAGGGTATACAAAGAGTAAATGCAAAATTTTACTATTAAATAGCACTTAATAATATCCATTCTTTAAGCCAAAATAATCCATTCTTTAAGCCAAAATACTTGCCTGCCCAAGCACAGTGAATGTGGGACAGAGTCTAATGTATGCTTTTGATTGTTTTCCTCCTTTTAGCTCTCCCTCAAGGAATTTTAGTTGACATAAAATATTTTATTGTGCTCTGCTGTTCTTGTACCTTAACTTCAGATCACTTCAGGTTATTTTTAAGACCCCAGGCTTTTAAAGTGAGACAAGTCTGTACTCCTAGGGCATTGCAAAATAGATTTTCAACATCCCAATTTTATAATTCCCCAAATAACTTTTCCCATGCAAAGTGGTTGCTGTAGAAACTAGTTGCTTCAGTGAACTGCTGGTGGGATATTAAGTGCAGTCAGTCACATCCATGTCAGCAGGGGCAAATGCTGCTCTCTAGTGGATGTTCAATGGTGTAAGTAAATAGTATGATTTCATAATGTGTCACCTTTACTGTTCACTGTCATTCTCCTTTAGGACATGAATCTCTATCCTTAACGTGTTTTGTTTTGTTTTGTTTTTCTGGTGCAATTGGGTCAATACTGCAAGTTTTTTTTTATTATTATTTCTCTAAATCTTTCTTTTTTTTTAAGTCAAGTGTGATAATACACTTCTAATTGCACTCATAAATTTAAAACAGAGGAATTAAAAAAAAGATGACTCTGACGTCATTAAATGTAGCAGCTGGGAAAGGAGCAGAAAGAGTCTTGTTTGCTTATTAGCTTGTTTTAGGAGTTTGGCATTATGCAGCTTCTGGAAGATCAGTGAGGTCTCTAAAGGTAACTTTTATTAAACGATTTGTCTTTATACTTCATGAACAGATTAGCCTTAGGAACTCATAAGTCAGGAAGTATATATACTTTATCTTTTCCGTTCAATGTTGGGGGTCACTGTAGACTTTAAATGTATAACAGATGTGAGGGCTAGCATCAGTTTTCACAATAGTGTGATTCTGATGTTAGAGGGTTTTTTTGCACTAACAATGAGACGCTCGTGGGCTGTCTCTGCCTTCTAAAGTCTTTTATATGGCCTCGCAACTTGTATAACTCATATGCCTTCATTCCGAACAATGAACCCTGGAATAAGTGTATTTACACAACAGGGTTGCTCACTCTGCAAACCCACACAGAAACCAGGATGTAATGGGTCAAGCACTAGCACAGTACTCATGAAAATCTGCCAACTTCAATGGAAATTGGAGTAATATTAATATTCCACAAGTGCTTTTCAGCTGATTGATTGTCCAAATGCATTTCTTCAAACCTGTCACTTCCAGCAATGCATTGTTTAGCTGTCGAGACCACCCCAGCAATAATGTGTGGGAGTTTTATTTCTTTTTTTTTGTTTTATTTTGTTTTGTTTTTGTGATACAAACTTAAATTATGAACAGAGGTTCGGCATTCTTCTCTGGTGTTAAGTCATGGCTTCTACTGGAAATCTGCTTCTGGCAGTTCTTTATGCTGACTTGTTGACCTAGAACAGATTGGACCCACAGTGGGGTAAGAGGGCAAATGAAATCTTCAATTAATTTTCTAGGGATTCAAAGATATTTCTTTGGAGAGGTTTATGCATGGAGGAGCCAATGTGACTGGATTTCAGTTGGTAGATTTCAGTACCCCAATGGTAACTAAACTGATGCAGCGCTGGAAGAAGCTGGACCAGAGAGAATACCCAGGATCTGAGACCCCACCAAAGGTATTTGCTGATTTGAAGCACTGCCAAAGACACTACTCACACGATCTAATTTCTAATTAACATTACTGAATACATGAACAAAGTCTTTAATATTTAGGAAGAGGAGCAGACATTCGATCTTGCTATTATTAGTAACTAATTATGCCCACCCTTGTGTTTGTATGGTAGAAACACAAACTGCAGTGCTGAGGTCCTTTAATGGCCTTTGTCACTTACTCTCAAACTCACCCCTTCACTGACAAGAATTAAAGGTCAAACACTTAACTGACAACTTAATTTTAACCACTTTTGCATGAATTAGTCTAATTATCTAAATTCACTTAGAGTGTGGAGCTTTCCAGACAGCTGGATTCTTCTGTATATGAGGTATAACTGCAATTATAAACATACTGTCCTTCAATTTTAATTTGCAATTTCTTCTGGAAATTCTATCCACCTCAAAACCTAATGTAACAATTATTGCTAGACATGATCTTACAGTGAAATTACATCCCTGTGTTACTCTATCCCTCCTATACACCTATAATTTTCTTGGCAGGCAAATCACAGCATAGCTATAAGTACGACTTCATCAAGAACCTCTTGATTCTGTTATTATATGAACTGATACATATCTGACCCAGTTGAGAATGGACTTTTTTGTGCTGAGCACTGTACAATGGTATGCAGTCTACCTGCAGTTGACGTTCACATATCCAAAGAGAAGTTTTGCAGCTGGGAAGAACACACCCTTGATCACTCTTAGCGGTTCCAATAGCCTGGGTATCTGCTCGTTACCAGTGCATTTATTCATGCTTATAAGCTTTCTCAGTGAACTCTTCTTTTCTTCTAAGTAAGCTGAGTAGGTGGGATTATTTCCTAATGGATATAAGCCAACTGCAAGAGAGGTTTGAGAAGAGAACGTCTCCGGTTTAATTTGTCCTTTTGATGATTCTTTAGAGACAGAGCTCTCTGTCCTTACGAAATACAGCCTTAAAGATGAATCTACTGAAAAGTACTTTCCACAGTCTTACGTTCCTCCCTCAGACAAATTGCTTGTGACTTTGAGGAGAGTTTTTTTTTCGAAATGAAAGTGTAGCAACTGCTGCATAATGAATCAAACCAGAAATATCTGAAACAGCAAATTTTTCTACAGATATGCCAACTCTAAAGTGGTGTGTTTGTCCATCCATTTAGTATACATCTGCACTGACGTATGATGGAGTACTTGTGATGGCTGAAACTTTCCGTAATCTTCGAAGACAGAAAATTGATATTTCACGGAGAGGAAATGCTGGTGATTGTCTTGCTAACCCAGCTGCCCCATGGGGTCAAGGGATTGATATGGAGAGGACATTAAAACAGGTAAGGGTAGGCTTTCTTCTAGTGATCTTTATGAATATTAGATTATACTTGTACATTATATGATTTGGAAGATATTGCACTCAAGGGTAATGATAGGAGGGTAGGAATTTATTTTTCACTTACCAGTTGCAAACAAGTAGTGCTGGTTCTGAATTTTTTGGTTTATAATTTGGAAGAAAAGTAGGGAGAAAACTAATACTAGTTATGTTAAGATAATTTGTACTTCCTCCACTGAAATGTTTAGCTCATCTGTTGCATTTTGCCTGTATTCTGGGTGTACAGATATTGTCGTTTAAGGTGTTTCTGCATAACTTTCAAATATGCTTCTGTCATCTTGAATGAATGTAGATTTCTCCCAGAAAAATCACAGAGGTAGTATATTTTTCTTTCAAAAGAAATAACCCAAAGTCAATGTTCACTGAAGTCAGGATTTTGAATTCCTGATAAATATGGATGCTTAGAAAGTTCCAAATCTCTGTCAAGATAATTTAATCTTTCCTTTGAATGGGACAGTAAGAAAATAAAAATCCTGCAGTAGAATTTAAATCTTTGCAAATGAGCCAGCTCTGCTCAGGAGAAACTGCTGAGGAGAAGCAACTTCTGACACTACTAGCAGCTCTGTGCCTAGAAGCCAGTGCTTCAATACTGACGAAAAATTAACAGAAATAGAAACGAACAAAGAGAAAGAATAAGGGGCTCAAATACCCTTCAGACACACAGATCTGTAACACGTACGAGAAGCAGAAAGTCATGCTTCTGTACCTGGGCTGAGAGCACAACCATTCGAGTCTGACCAAAGAGGCTGTCCCTATACAATTAAAGGCAGCAGCAGTATGGCTGTGGCTTCTTTTGGGCTGAGGACCACAGCCTTGGTATACTCCAGTGAAGTAATAAAGAAAGAGCTGAATGAAGAAAGAGTTTTATTGTGAGCTCAGGGCAAAAGTAATATTTTCAGCTCGACTCCTGCTACTGCTACATCTGCTTCACCCACTCGGGGGCTGAGAATGCTGCTGCCTTCACGGCAGGCTTAGAGGTAGTGAAAAATTGCTACAGCGATCTTATGGCTTTATGTCTGTCCTTCTTCAATTTAAGGATCTGGAAACACTCCTTTCAGGCTTCATGTAGGTCATCTATCTTCTGTGACAGAGAATTGCTTTGCTAGAGCCAAGTTTATCATCAAGTTTACCTTGATAAGCAATATATACTCAATATATACTTTCTTAACCACCAGAGTTTGAGCTAAAAATATATATAAATTCAGATCAAGCATCCTTTAGTTTTATTATGTGATCCAAATATTCTGCAGCAGTGATGGTGGCAATGGGAAAAAGTTTACATCTCATTAGGACCCAAAGCTATCCTGAAAAACGTTTAGCTGCACATCATGGAAGAGGAGAAGTTCCATTGTGGATCTGTTAGCACTGAGATACTGGCATATTTCTGCCTATTTTCAACATGGTTGTGCAGTAAAAGGAATAAGAAGGAAAAGTAGCCAACTTCTCACTTTATAATGCCTGATTGTTCTATAGTAGTATTGCAGTTATGGTAGTCTAAGGATGTATCCAGGATAACTTTGACTGCTATGTGACTTTTGGAATAAAGCATATAAGGCTAGATTTTTCATAATGTGTTTTCTTCTGTTTTAGGTTCGAATACAAGGATTGACAGGAAATGTTCAGTTTGACCACTATGGTCGCAGAGTCAACTACACCATGGATGTGTTTGAGCTGAAGAACACAGGTCCTCGGAAGGTAGGTGCTGACAACGTTTGCTATCCTGATGTTATATAAATTAATTTTGTATAATGAAATAATTATAGAATTTTATAATAAACAGAATTCTTCATGGTTTTAAAGTGGCTCCTGGATAATATATAGCCCTGGGCTAAGCAGATACAAACTGCATCTTGTAGTAGACATGCAACAAGTTTGGAAACACAAAAATAAGTGTGCTGCTTGGAGACGTAGGATGGAAGCCAGTCAGGCGTCCAAATGAAAACCAACTGGATGGCATGTTGTTAGGACACTGGTTGATGGAGAACGGTCAGAACTCTGAACACTAGATCTTTCTCATATCTTACCTAAATCTTTCTATCCTGCCAGTTACTGACATTTTTAGGCAGCGTCATTTGTACTTTCAGTGTAAGCATAAGTCAAAGTTTGTAGTAATATCTTTTTTTAAAGGGGGAAGGGAGACATGAGGAAAGGAAGGGAGAATGCCATGAAAACTTACATTTTGGTAGGAAAATTAATTGTGGCATGTAATCCTAGGTGCTCAATCTGTTTGCCTGTAAGCAACTTGGGCAAATGTGTGTTAGTATACATCCAAGCAAATCCTCCCTGTCTGAACGCACACAGCTTATCACTCAGCCAGATCGCATTGAAAACATAAGCCTGGGTGCTTTGTTAGCCTTTTCTCATTTGTGCTGAAATCTGTCAATTTTTCATAGAATAAAACAAATTTAAAAAGACAAGAAAATATACTCACTCTTAAGCATCGTATTTCTTTTGGAGGCACTGTGGCCCATTTTATTTGCTATGTCAGCAGAAAAGGATAAAGCGAGAAGCTGAAGGTTAATTGGAGAATTGCAGCCACTTGACTGAGGCAGTCCAAATTAAATTATATCGTCCTCCACTGTCAGGCATGCAGGCATTTTCAGAGGTGAAAAGCCCAGTAACTAGTACCCCAGGTGAACTGTCTGCCCCCAAAGGCAAGCAGTTGCACACTGCAGTGGTGAGGAGGAAGAGTGCTAAGCTCTGGATCCAGAGCAGAACTGGGAATCAAGACAAACTAACCGTCAGTATAATGTAGTGCCGAGCTATAGAGTGAAGCAGAGGATGTGCCTGTGTGTATCAGGTGTATTGGTGCAGTTGCCTTTCAAAACTATGACGGATGGCTAAAGAATAAACTGGGAAAGGCGAATCTGTCTTGCTTCTCTCCTGGGAAGCCCTCTGTCTCCCGGCAGTAGACGTGTCTAATCTAGCTGCTGCTGCTGCTCCTCTCCTGGTTGCTCGCTCTGCTGCCGACAGACAGTCGGGAGTACCTACAGGTGGCCGCAGCGCATAGATGTCAAGTGGTGAAATACGATCCCTCCTTCACCAATTCCCAATTATACAGGAGGAAAGATGAGGTGGCAAAGGTGTAGTTAATTATGTCACAACTTTATTAACTCCTTAGGGAACCTGCTTGGCAGTGAAGTGTAGAAAATGGCCCGTTGTGCCTCCTGCCTGGTCTGGGAGAGGCGCCGTGGGCTGGCCGCCCCGCAGGGATGCCCCTGCGCTCTCTTCCTGCCTGAGGTCTGGGGTGCGGGGTGGTTTCAGAGGGAGGAGTTATCTCTGTGTTTTGCTAGAGCCCAAGGTGCTTTTCCTACCCTTTTAGGCCTTCACCCATCTTCACAGCTACTCACTCTCAACCTGTCTTTCGTAAAATAAGTCATAACAGCTTTGACAGATCGGACTACTCACAATAATTCATTTCTCATGTATTACACAGGATTTTATATGTGATCATTGGACCAATTGTGTACTCCAGCCTGACAAATCCGATATAATACGTTAGAAGTGACTTTACTTAATTGAAATAAGAGGCCTTCACTTTTAATGTCTTTTTTTCGTATCCTACATAACACTTATGAGTCACCCAGCAATATCCTTTCAGGTCTAGGTTTTCCAGTCAGAGTAACTCATGCCTCTAATATTTAGAAAAGTGATTTTTGTGGCCCACAGCTTTAAGGATGTGAAAGGAGCGTTAGAAAACTGCACAGCTATTCAGAGGCAGATTTCCACGTGGTGTAGTGAAATGGGATACAATAGCCCATGTTCATATTGGTTCTATTTATGCAGCATTCCTTATTTGGTTCCCATCTGCAGAACAGTGACACCAAGATTAAAAAGAAAAACAACAACAAAAAGCAAACAAAGCGTATGTATATACGCACACAAGAAAATCTAAAATCTGCCTCCTAAATTCCAACTTAGGCAGATAAATTGGTAATTTAATTGTCAAAAATGTGGAGTGTTCTGTTGCCATTGATGACTTGTCTGCTTCAGTAAGAGCACTTCAGCAGATGCTGCAAGGTGCACAGGCCTTCAGAAATGACACTATTGATTCAGCTGCCAGACTGCTTAGAGGAGTTTACTTTGAGGCACCTATTTTTGTAATATTATTTCCTAAAAGAAAAATTTAGCCTCTCTATAAGTGGGTGCAACTGCTGTAATGTCGGATTGAATTGGATTTACTTATGTAGTGGCTGAATTCAACCATATCCTTGAGAGTTTTTTTTCCTTAGAAATTTTAGGTTTTATAGGAAAGCATATTTTCTCTTAGTGCTTTAATTGTTACTGTGAATTTATATACCTGTACATATATGTCATAGATATGTTCTATATTTATTCAGTAATACAAATCAGAAGCTACTTCAGTACAGGTTTTGAGATTCACACATGCAAGCTCACATCTGCATGCACTGAGTTACAATTCCTTTAAAAAGTGCCCACCTTTCCTCAGAAACCTTCTTTATCTCTGTCAGCGTTTTGATATAGTACTTACTTTCATAACACAGTATATCATTCATTTTGGCCTTTCTTTCTGAAATTCCCAGCAGTGAGGAATTGCACAATGAAAAACAATCATTCACCATTATAACAAGTTTCCCGAACTGCCAAGTTTCAGTGTACATGTCCTACCTTCAGCTGGTCCCAGGTTTCGGCAGGAACTTGACATTTTCAACTATCAATTGCTTCTGTGAATCTATGGTTGCCTGGATGAAAAAGAGTATTTGTTAGCAGTGCATCCTACCAGGAAAAAAAAAAATGCCTCTCCACTAAATCAGCAATACTAAAGTTTCTTGTTAGCTGCAGAAACCTAAATTAAGGCTCCTATGCTATTATAGCAATTGCAAAAAGAAAAGGAACAGGTCAATTAAATCTACCAAGTGTTGTATGTTGGGAAAAAAAAATGTTCTTTTTGCTTTATTAATTAACCAAAAGAGAAAACTTTTTAATAGAAAACAGAATAGAATACCCCTCACTCATATGCAATTACTTACAAATATATATTCATTGTTGTAATGAGTGTGTCTGCATACTGCTTTAGAGATAGCTAAAATGACTTGCCTATCTATAAATTAATTAAAGATAGGAAATGAATGAAATAGAAATTGTAAAAATTAAAAGGAAGGTTGTCTGTTTAAAGAATATATGGGATTCTTTAATTCATCTGAGACTAGGAACCACAAAGACTCTTATATTGCTTCACTGCATGGCTCTGAATAAGATATTTCTCCCCATTTCATGGGGGTAGAGTCCTATGTGTTGGTGCGTTTCAGTCTGGGATCTGCAATAATATTTAAAAATATTATTGGCTGCCTAGCTGATTTGATCATTCAGCATGCTTTCATCACATCAGAGTCTTTTCATCTGAGGCACTGACTGTCCTCTGGCAGCAACAGTATCACCAAAGCTCTGTCCTGAGCCCATTTCCCACTAGTATTCCCTTTCTTCTTCTCCTAAGACAGACAAGGAGTTCCTCACTCCCAGCTCTTGGTCTTATTAACTCCAAAACAATCAAGGAAGGAAGAGAAAGTCACTGCTGAATAGTCCCAAACCGCTTCTGAAAAGTGAGCTAGGCCAAACACAATTGCACATTTTTAATAGGAACCTTTTAAAATCAGTGCTGTTCTCTGCGCATTTCCTGGGAAGAAGGACCAGTCATTTAATTCATTAGGATCTCAGCAGCCTGGGCCCTGTATACTGCTTGTCAGCCTTGACAGTCCCTTTAGGTGGGACTAGAGCACTGTTCTCCCACACACATTTCCATTTGCCTTGTTCTTTTTGTTCCACTGCCTTTGAGCCAACTGTGCCAGTACTTGGATCAGAAGGGCAGTCACCTGAGCTGTCCCCTAGCAGTCTTGTCTGAGGGTCCACAGGAAATGGTGATCTAGTGCAGAAAAGAGGACAGCAAAAAGTTGCAAGGCAGGGCATTGTAGGATCTGTTAGTGAGCCACAGGTTAGACATGAGAGAAGAGGAAATAGAGCGGCTTCAGCTGAGGGGACTTTTGGCTCGCACTCCGAAAGACCAGGTGGGAGGGCGGAATTACGCATCTCTGAGCACACGTGAGACAAGGACCGCAGTTATGATTCACTTGCCATTTCATAGACATCTGCCTTGCGCTGGGAAGGTCATGCACACACAGCTTTCCCAAGAAGCCTTGCAGGTGACCTTTCCTAGCTAAGGCCACACCAGGCAACATTAATGACCAGGAGTTTCTAAATCCAAAGATACCAATTGCTGATACAGACACTGAACACGGTGACAGCATGTGGAGTGAGATGCTGAGTATGGCATTCAGACCGCCCAAGATTTACAAAAATAATAAGGTATTTTAAGGTAGGTCTCAGATCTGTTTTTAGCCATTTAAAGGCATAGTACAAAGACTGTTGTTTGTTTGTTTATTTGTTTTTTTGAAGTTCTCATTGAGTAGCTCCCAGAAGCATCAATCATCAGTAAAAGCTTGAAGGGGGATCTCCTTGTTTCAGGCTGCCTTCAAACCCGTCTGCTCTTAAAGCAAGCGCTGTATCCCTGGGCCCTCTCAGGAAAGGATGTCGACTCATGCCTTGTGCCCAGAAACCTCCCTACCAACACAGAGTGTACAGCGACTGATTGTACTGAGGACCAGAGGTGTACTGGGGACCAGAGCAGTGTCTGTATGCAAGGGACAGCTTTTACTAACAGTCATACCACTTTTTTTTTTTAATTATTTTTCTTTTCTTCATGGGAATACAAGCACAAATCACCCAAGCCTGGCTCCAGAGCACTTCTGCAGCAGCAATGAACACAGGCAGCTGTTTCACCTTAAGGCTTTCCTGGGAGGGGCTGTGACAGTCTAAGCACAACCACAGAGACTAAAATTGAATTTGTTCCACCTCCTTGGAGGCACAGACTAGAGACACCTTAGGACCGTGTTTTATAGTCAGTGGAGAAAGACCAGCCCTTCTAGAAGGGATGCATGTCTTGGGTGAGCTGAGTCACCGTCTGGGGTTGCCTCTCTCTCTTCGCCGAGTGTAAAGAAAGCCTTAACAACTGCCCTTGCAATGTAGTTACCAAAGATCAGTGCCAGAAGTTAAGGAGAACGAGCGTAGGGGTGAGTTGTTAGGCTGGGGTCTCACAAAAGGCCTTCAGTGGAGCAGGGGTTGGGTTCAGCCTCCGTAATTGCAACATCGTCACCCAGAAATCTTTCACTCCTCCATCTAACAGAAGATCTGAAGATTAACGAGTGACCATTTTCTTCTTAAGGCAATCAGATGTCATATATATTATTGATGCCCTAAGTAAGGCTTCAGATTACTTGAAAGGGAATTTAAATTGAGACCCTGTTCTAAATAAGTGTCTCAGATCATTCAGGAACAACTGAATGGCAGCAATACCAGGTCTGGTCCTGGGTTGCTGCAGTGCAAGATGGTGTGCCTGACTGTTTCATGTGTACCCCGAGCACCCATCTATGAGTGCTGCAGCATTTCCTTCCGTACAAAATTATCCTACGATTGTTCTCTTATTCTTATAATAATTTATAAGTGTGCAGAGCATAGATGTATGTACTGTAAAATACATACATTTTGTTTTGCAGGTTGGCTACTGGAATGACATGGATAAATTAGTTTTGATTCAGCATGAACCTACACTGGGAAATGACACTTCAGCCATTGAGAATAGAACAGTAGTTGTCACGACGATTTTGGTAAGTTTTTTTTTTTTATTTATTTTCAGTGTTTATACTGGTATGTGGCACGCGTTCCTCTATAGTTATAGTCTAATTGTGTATGCCAGTTCCTAGGTTAGCGGGAGGGTGAAAGTCATATATCTTAATTCTCTTGATTGTCATATCTGTAGAGAGCTTTTTTGGTGTGCATTTTAAATAATGATTGATTTGAAATTTGTTTTTTTTTAATTGAATTATAATATATTTTTTTCCTTATTCAGTCTTTTCCATTATTTACTTAAGAAATTCTCATAAATGTAAGTGAATTCTTTCAGCCTCTGATAGATAAATTACGACTCACAAGAAACTGAAAAAAAGAAAAACCTGAAATGTATAAATGACAGAATTGAAAAGAGGGTATAAAATCAGATGTCCGTAATACCAGTTGCCCTTTTGTTGATACATTATATATCCAAAATTGGCCATAGTAATAGTTAAAGTTCTAAACATTATAATTTAGTCAACCAGTCAGGACTGGATTGTGTACTTTTCATTGTGAATGAAAACATGAATTTGGTAGATGCATTTGAATATATTTTAATATATTTATTCAGAATTTCAATAAAGTCTTGCATTTCAATGAAATCTAAATAGACTTAGGTTTTGATTTTCAGTGCTAGGTACATAATGGGTCATTTTAGGGAGTGTCTATAGAGAAAGAAGAATGCAGTTGCTTCATTAACTTAAATTTTCAATATAGAGTTTTTCAAAAACATTTTTCTTACAAATATGTATTTTAATCAAAATAACTAACAATTTCCCCTTTGAAATCAGACATGCCCTTTTAAGTTGATGTTTGTCAAAGCCGACTGGCAAAGGGCGACCTTTACCTGACTGCTTTTAAAATTTTACATCTCAGTTCTCTGCCCTTTTCACCTACTTCATTTAGACAATACATTTTTAACTATTTAGGATAAGCTATGTCTTATATGGGAAGGAATATGTATGCGTTGTTAAGCAGTGATTTTCTAACTGACCACAGAGTTGAAAATAATCCAAAGGAAAGTACCAGGACATTTCTTACTCAAAAATATAGTTAATTACCAGAGTTCCAGCAGTGTGTGTCAGCATTTATACATTAAGTACATCTTAACAAATCTCCTGTTGAAGATTATCATTCCAGGATGCAGAGCAGCCAAACTACTATACAGGAATTCAGAATGTAACTCCTAACCAAATTGTGTAACTTTTTTTTTTTTTTTGCATGGGACATTTAAAAATATATGTATCTTTTTCCTAAAAAAGACTTGGTGATGGAAAAAAAAAATACTTCAGTACAGTCCTCCTCTTTTCAGCCTCTGATGAAGAATCCTATTTTAAGAAATTGATCAAGGAAGAAAAGAGTCCCAAGATGCTGCGAACATTCCTAACTAAGGCTCAAGTATTAACCACCAGTGTAGTAGCATTGAGCTAATTTTTCCATATGGATTACTGTTCCTCTGACTGGATGACCAGGCACTGAACCACCAAGAAAAGTTCTGTGACTAATCTGAAATGTCTAGAACAGATGACGTTAACCTTCAACTTTGCCGAGCTAAGAAGAGAAAGATGTGAATAACAAGCTTTCAGTCGAAATTTTCCTCTCATAACAGTCTTGATCCTTGACTGAAGCTGCCATACATGAATACTGTAATTTCCATAAATAGCTCCAAGCTTAGGAGAAGCAAGTAAAAAAAAATAATAAAAAGTAATACAAAAGGTTCCTGCTTGCCTGAAAGGAAAAAAAGGAAAGCAAGAAAGCTTTTAAAATGTGTTATCTTGCCTGTTTGCATTGAAGCATTTTGATGTGCATAATAAATGTTATCTTTGGAAGAGCTTTCCAGTCCCTGTATTGAAAGGACTGGTGGGATCATTTTCGAAACCAAAAAGCTGAATTAATATTCCAAAGCATGCCCTATGTTTATGCAGCATGTCACTTGGGGATAATTGCAATTATTTGAAAGCAGCAATGCTTCTTGATCAAAAATGTCCCCTTTCCATGTTTCCAAATCACAGTGCAAGAGAAATATATCAGAATTTGGTTTGAATAAGAATATATGGTGAATTCTGCCTTAAGCTAGTCATGCACCTCTCCCTTTGACACCACTAGGAGCTGCAAACATGATTCTGATGGCAGATTAGACCCGTGATTCTTAATATTGGCCTACTGGGCAATGCATTTGGAATTCAGAAATATATGATCACACAGAAAAAGAGATATTTGTCAAGAAAATCTTTCAGAATCCTGTTATTTTGCTCTTCTCTCTGTTATACTCTTGTTGCCAAGGCAGAGACTTTTTGACCTCTTCGTTACCCTCTTCACATTGGAAGGAAGTTGAACCGTTGTAGATGACACATAATTTTGGTTGCATGCATATTTTCCGACATTAAACTGAAAAGCTCTGCAGCCAGTGCTGCCAGGCTTTTCAGTCTTCAAAGACAGGTGTCATGGCAGAGCAAAAATGTTTACAAGTTGTCAGCATGGCTCACTTTAATTTTTGCCCGAAACCAAATAGCACAAGTTGATTTGCCGACTATTTCTTCAGTTTGTATGTGTCTGTGCTTACTTTGCTGTAATGTGGCTGTATGGCTATGATGCATGATAAAGAATTAGCTCTGCACTCAAAAAAATTAGTACAGTGTTTTCTTCTCGGCAAAACGTTATGTTCATTTTTCATATAGTGAGAGTATATAGGGTTTATTTTACAGTTTTGTTTTAGCATGTAGGTACTCAACCTATTTCCGGTTATTCATGTGGTGAAGGGGCAGCTCAGAGAAATGCAGCAGCAGGGGCAGCTGATATGTGTTATTCTCCCAGCTGCAGCTCAGTCCTGGTTATTACTGTTTCTGGCAGAGCCCAGTGTCCTTCACCTCATGTGGTACACATCCTCCTGTACACCTGGCCTTCTCAGAAAGGACAAGTTTTCTTCCTGTGTGCAGAAATGTTCCCCTTAGCCTACTTGAGGCCTCCAGGTACACAGTAGGCTCATTATATGACTGGCGCAGGGATGCCACGTGCAGCCGTCTGCTAATGCTAAGGGAAGGCAAGTGGCTTATCCAGCCCGGAAGAATGAGTGTCACTAATTTAGTAGACTGAGAAATGCAGTGTGAGATGTAGAGCTAGAACACAGAGGAGTAAGTTGGGAAGACTGATCCAAAGTCTCTAATCTATTTAACGATACAACCAACTCTGCACATGCTCTAAGACTGCAAAATTGATAAATCACAAGAATCCTATAGAACCAAAGCTCCACCTGCAATGAGCTGCATCTACATCATGACTTCCAGCTCAGTATTTTAATAAAATAGACTTGGTGCAAGAGCAGGATTCAGTTCAAGACTGAGTCAGCTAAACGTAGATGTCTATAAAGAGAGTTTTGATTCAGTTACTCACGTATAAATACCCAGTGACGGTTAAGATGTACTAGGATATCCTGCCTTCTCCCTGTTTCCTACACCAGTAGGATGCTACTTCCCTGCATGTTGTATGCCATATTTGAGTATCCCATCTTGATGTCTTAGTTATTCTGTGTTGTTTCAGATGTGGGCTGAATTGTACCCCATGTGTGTAAGCTTCCATTAACGTTCACAAACACTTAAAGCTTGGTTCAGCTGTCCATGCATATGTCCCTAGCACCCAGGGTCTCCGAGATATCCACAGAGGAGTAGCAGACATAGGACCTGCAGAAGATCTGTGCCTTCCAGAATGGCACCTGGGGGCAGGCAGGATAACTTAGGGCATCTCAAGTGGCAGACACCTCCATTAGGGGACTGAGTGGTTTTGACTGATTTACTCTTGCCGTTTTTGGGCATACTCTCGGTCCTACCTCAAAAATCCTACCTTTAACCTTCTTTTTCATAATAGACAATTTCTTTCATTAGAAATGTTATTGAGTAAATTCTTTAGTGGACTGGAGAAAAGTGAAAGTCTGTTGCATGACAGTAGTAAGGTCTTCAAACCGAATCCTGAACGCTTTATTCAGAAAAAAAAAAAAAAAACAATAAAAACTTCCATTAAATTCTATAGAAGTTTTTTTCAGAATAAAGTGTGTCCAACTGTCATTCATTTCCTACAAGACATTTCCTTGCACAAATTTTTGTCACTTTTGCAAATTATTTTTACAGTGTTTAAAGATTTTGAAAGGAAGTCGAGCATAGCTCTGTCTGATATTAGGCTTAGTTACTTTCTCCAGCTTCCCTTATAGTATGGATCATCAGTTGTGAGCATTTTACTGTATACATGAATATGTGGGAATGTGGTGGAATGCTTTGTTTACATCTATAAAGGTAATTGTTGCAGACATCAACTTGTATTTATAAATGTTAAGTATTGTTATAAAATTGTGAATTATATAAGTAAAGCTTGCACCATTTCGAGTATCTGTTCCTTGCTACTCATTAATCATTTCAATATAGACTTTTCTATTATTCAATACTCCACAGAATATTATTAATCAGCTGAAATCTTGAAAATATCACCAGGCTAAATCTCATTCAGCAGTAAATCAAATCTATGTTTTCCATCAGTAGGTTAAAGGTTTATAGTTCAAAAATGTGATAGATACAAAGCTTGTGGGGAGAAGTATTATTTGTATTAGACAAGATTCTCAAACCGGAAAAGGCGAAAAAGCATGCCTGCTGTTTTCAGCTTTCCCAACTGATTTAATAAAAGATATTACTTCTCCCTAGATATCTAGCATCTCTTATATTCTTAGACCAGCATGGTAACACTTACATTACTACTAGTTTACAAAATGCTATTGTAATAGATAATGCAGAAGAAAATCTGCTTCTTTAGTGGGATAGATAGAAAATGGCATCAAGATATGGTTGAGTACACACTATTGATCTATTCATCTATTTCATGACTTTGCAGCATGACCTTGCAAGTTGACCTGTAAAAGTTATTTGTTAGCAAACCAGTAGAACTTGCCTTTGAGTGAGCTATTTTTATTACAAGAGTATCAGCACACAACCATAGTCTGAAATGACCAGAATTTAAAACTAGTGTTGCTGTCTTAATTTTTTGCAAATGATCTCTATCACAAGAGTGTGCCAATGGAAAGCCACTTTCAGACCAAGTCACATTCCCCCATCACATTCTACCTTGAGAATACATCTCAGGATTTGGCAAGTAAAGTAGGCACAACAATTAAATAAACTATTATTTATTCTGTGTAAAGTAGGTAGGAGGGAAAGGGCTATGTAGTAAGCAAAAGGGAGTATATATTCCCTGCTATTTGAGTTGTATTGTTTCACACTAGTGGATTTCACTTAATTGCTACTTGTTTTAAAGGAGTAGTGGCAAGAGGTAGTACCTCACTCAATAATATTGTAAGAGATGTTCTTTGCTGCATTTTGCTGTAAATCAGTGAGATCAGAGTGGGTAGAGAGGGAAGCAGAGGTTGAGAGAAATAAGGTTTCTCCAAATCACTCAGCAGATGCCTGGCAGAGCCCATGTCTTCTGAGCCCACGCTCGGTGGTCTGTCCACAGGGCGGACAGTTTCTCTTACGTACATCTGCAATGTCTTTTGCACCCTGCAGCTACTGTGCTCAGTGCACAGAACTCAGAAGGAATGAAATTTATTCAGCCTTTAACAGGAAAAATAAGGCATTTGTCATTTTGCTGTGCTGCACAGAGGCAATTGAAATGTTTTTTATAGCATCCCTGTCTCTGATAAGGTACAGGCAGAGGCACAGTGTCTGGGTTTTGAGAGAAGGAGCAGTCTGACCTGGCTTCCTCTGCTTCTGCCTGCTTTGAGTCTCTCTCCAATTTTATTTATTTATCTTTTTTTTACAATTACATAACTGTAATTGTATGCCTTTGGCTTGGGATTTATAAGAAAGGCTGAATCAAGAAAGGTGACAATCACTGACTGTGCTCCTTGAGAAGAAAATGACTGTTAAGGTGCACCAAGCAAATGTAACTGAAGGTTGTAAGGAGAGTCCGTGAATGAATATGGGACAAGACTTGGTTGCATTTCTAGCTAACGGTTGGCCAAATGACAGTCAGGAGACACACTATTTTTGTCCTCTGTTTATTGTTAACCATTTGTGTGAAATAGCATATGTAGAAAGACCCAAATGTTGGCTATTTTCCTTCTGGGAACAGAGCCCCTACATGTGAGTGAGCAATATCTGTTTCATTTGTCCTGAATACTTTCCAAAGTCAAGATCTACTGGAAAGAGAGGACAAGACCTCCCTCCTCTTCTCGCTCCCTCACTCTAGAGGATAAGTGGTTGAGATTAAGCTGACTTGACTGGGGACAGAAATACAAGGAGTGGTGCAGGCCGGTGTTGATATTCAGCAATTTCCTCTTGAAGATACAAACCAAAGTTTGTATCTTCTGCCAAAGGCATTGCACTGCATCACTGCAGTGATTGTAATGTGCAGTAAATGCTGCAGCTCAGCAGTCTTCTCTCATTGCCCAGGTCATGCATGGCATGATGATAGCAGCTTTTCTTATGATTGCCCTGGCAACCCTTAACCATGCAGAGGTCATAGCTATGTGCTCAATACAGTGATCTGCTATTGTCATCCTCAGATTTCTCTGGGCATTTAAATATATACAGGACAAGGATCCAGGTGACCAGACAGTGTGTGACTTTGGAAATAACCACTGTGGACACTTTGCTATGCCATTCTTTAGCTGCACTGTATGGGTCTTTAGCTGCATTAACGTCTGCAACGTGTAAGTTGCCTCCAACACTGAGTTACAGCTAAGGGATCATAGCTCACAAAGGCCATGTCCGAGCCACTTCATAGAAAAAAGTATCATAATAAGGGCAGAAGGAGGGGTTTTCTGGGGACGCAGCTGAGAGTGAAACATTCCTGTAATGCTTCGGGATCTGTGGCTATGTTTAAGCAAATATTACTGCTTCCCCATTCTCAGACTGTGTGATCTGGGACCTTTCTTTCACATTGAAGTAAAAAGTTACTCGACTTTCTCCATCCACATTACACAAAGCTCTGTTCTGCCATCCTTGTACTGAGTTATATCCTGGGTACAGTTACTACAGGGAGTAAACTTACAGAAGTAGAGGGATAATGCTTCCCAAATATAATTTCTCTTTTCTATTTTTCTGACTTTTCACCATATAATAGTAAACGGAATATATTATTCAGCCTTTCCTATCAAGCTATCTTGGGTATATCCAGCCCCTATTAATGGGAGCTACATATTTATATCTGAAAAGAGAAATTAACTTGACACACACAAAAATATTGGAATTGGCTTATGCAATCCCCGCATCACTCACATAATGCCAAGAACCGCCAGTTGTTAAACGCAGTGTAGACTACAAAATTGCTACTGCTTACAGCTGATTTTCATGTAATTTCAGTGAAGAAGACATTCTCAGCTACACATTTTACTTTTATTTTATTTGTATGCTAATTATGTATGTAGGAAAGATGTGAACAGGGCAGAGGAACAGCAAGGTCAATGTTGAAAAATCAACATTTGCTGAAAGTCAGCACAGCCACCATCTAACAGAAAATTGCCAGTATTTTATGAGGTGATGTCAAGCAAAGGGTGACATTAGTGGCAAGTGTTGTACCTGGAACTGGCTGTTAATATGGATTATGTGAAGTCATTTAAAATATCACCAGGAAATATAATTTCACATAATGACTGCTAAAGTCTGAATCCACAAAGAGCCGAAAAGGAAAATGTGACCTTGTTTTTGCAATCCCATAATGTTCACTAGTAGGGTATACATAGGGAGTGTAAGATCCAGGTTTCAAGACAGGTTTGACTGGTTTCCAGTGACACTTAGCAACCAATATGATACTTTGGTACTTCTTTTTCATGCAGCATGTAAAGGTAGTGTCATCTTAATGCTATTCTTGTCTATGCTTAGATTCATGCTAAGAAAACTTGCCAAATCTGTACTGTTTATTCAGAAGTGAAGGTATTCACTTCCTCTAGAAGATAATTCCATGATCTTACTAAAATGTACAAAGCATCTTAGTAACTATGCATTCTAAACCTCAAGAAAACAAATCATTCAGGCTGTACATCTGAAGTTACATAGACAATAACCACGCCATGTTAGATGGTAGGTGTATATATTTAATTTGAAAGGGTAAATTATGCCTTGCACTATCCCAAGATTGTTTACATTACACTGGTTCAACCCCTATTCATGCTTTCTGTTTACTATGCACTAAGGTCTTTCACTTAAAACAAAGTAAAATCTAAATAAGTTCTTGGAAATTTTAGTGTTTATACTTCATAAAGGTTGATAATTCTTGTGAAACTTGTAAGTGAAATTATAGCGTAAATAGTATACCTCTTCATAAGGATTTCTATTCATACATTTAAATATATATATGCTAATTCTATCTGTGTACTTTTGATAAAAATTATGTTGTTCAATCAGTAGATGACATATTGCTTTTCAGAGTCTATTCTGTATACTTTTCCTTTACAGTTCTACTTCTTTCATTATAGGAAGCCCCATATGTTATGTTCAAGAAAAACCATGATACGTTTGAAGGGAATGACAAGTTTGAAGGATACTGTGTAGATCTGGCGTCAGAAATTGCAAAACATATTGGTATCAAGTACAAAATTGCCATTGTCCCTGATGGAAAATATGGAGCAAGGGATCCAGAGACAAAAATCTGGAATGGGATGGTGGGAGAACTTGTTTATGGGGTAAGCATACCAATTTTTGCAGTAGGATTTAACATACCACAGTATTAGTCATAAAATAGGAAGTATATATGCATTTTGCTTAACCTTGGGGTCAGAGAAAAGAAACAGTTCTGTTTCAGATCTCTGTGCTTTCATTTATTTTCAAGTAAAAATTAAATGGCTTCATAGAAATTCTACTATTTATTCAATAAGTACTTTCTAATATTAGAACATTTCCTAGTCTGAACATCCTTTAAAAATCATTACTGTTAGAACTAATAGTGGACCATTGATACCATCTATTCCTGATATATTGTAAAACTCAGTTGGGAAGAATATCACTCATTTATTCACTGTCATGGAGTGGACTATCATGGACTAAGTATCTTTAAAAAAAGATAGCACTCTTGGTCTAGATATTCTGAGGGATGGAGAATCCACCATCATATATTAAAGCAAATGTATAACAAATCATCCAGACAAGTACACACTGAGACCATCCAGAATTAAACCAATTTTTTAAGAGTAACATCAATGATAAAATTTAAGAACAAACCTGGTAAGCTCAGCAACTAGGAGTATGCGTTATACAGTGATCTGGAGCAGCGTTCCCCACATAGCATAATAATTAAGAATTCTGTAGACAAATGAAGTTGCAATATTAAATGAAAATAGTTCCAACAAAGCCAAAGAAACGTTTGCACTCTCTGGTGTAACCAAAGGTAGTCAAAGCTCAGC